ATTACAATGTTAAATCAACAAGACCAAAGTAGGCAAAGTTCTAGAAAACATCGAGACCATAATAAATTAAAAATAAAATAAATTGTCAGTCCCATTGACAGTGTGCTCTGACGGTACCTTTACAATAATTAATTTTATTAATCATCCGTTCAATCGATATGTATTTTTATTAAAACTTTAGTTGATCTAGTCTTATTTTATTAATTTTATGTATGAATGGTAGATAAGTTTTCAAGTTAGTGAAATGCTGAGTCAACAATAAAGGTTAAAAGAGGTTTACTTCAAAGCCCAGTGACTTTAGCAAAACTAACCTATCCTAATATTACTCAGACTTTCTTCTATTTCAAGTTCAGATTTTTATCGTTATTCTTTATCACAACCAAATAAACAATTATATACATAATCAAATTATCCATTTAGATAAAATATAATTTGATTATAATGTGCAAACATATAATGAGTTCTAATTTAACAAATAATTATCTCGTCCAATTATATTTTTTTAATATACAGTGATAAGTAAAAAAATAAATTGATATACAGACTAAATGATACAATCACATCCCTGAATTTTATTTATGCAGCATTTTATCTGTCACTGCAATAGTTCTATACACTTTATGATGTTATCACTCGATCAAAAAATATATAGATATATATTTTAATATTATGAATATGAACCCAAATATTTTAAGGAAAAAATAACAAGTACCATCGAAGTCCAATACTTAAACTAAAAAAATAAATAAGAAATGGATTAAAATACATGATTTAAATATAAAATATCCTTATCTATCATTTCTTATCATTGTATTTATCATTATCATTACCCAAAAGTTGTACTATCTGCAATGCTATTTTAAACTTAAGAATCATAAAGCAGTTTATAAACCATTTCAATTCACCAATACAATCATAAATCTGTCTTGAGTCCTTCTTTAAACAACCTAACAAACAATAGAATGAATGAAAATTTTATGGACAATAAACTAATGTTTTATGAAAGCCTTGAAATATTTAATAGGCATTGGAAAAATTAGAATTTTATATTGAGACCTTAATACCTAAATATATATGTTGAGCATGAGCTATTTTAATAATAAATAACAATATTACTGAATAATGTTTATAAAGAATATAAATGAATTATTTACTTAATAAAATTAATACTGATTTACACACTACTTTCATGATTCAAAATTTTGTTTATATTATTTCTTTATTCCAATTAAAATCACTGAAAATAATCTGAATCCTAGTAATTTGATAAAAAAACAAATGAAAATAAGACATGTGCTAGATGATAACCACAAAGATGATATATAATGGCCCTGGAATGTGAATCTTTTTAAATTTGTTTCAAATTTGTTACATAGACCATTAGAGAAAATAAAAATTGGCGAAAATTTAATAAAATATAGAGAAAAAACTCAAAAATAATAACAAAGGAAGGTTATAGGCTGTTATAACTACTGATATAATATTATATATAGCCATTGTGAAGTGTAATAAATTGTAATATTCTCATAACAGAAGTAATAAGAAACATTAGCCAAAAGAGATGGATCAGATAGGGGCGACATAATACAGTTTAAAACAAAAGTTATTGAAAAGAAACATGTGCTCTCGGTTGGCAAGATAATTCTCGGTATAGAATATTATCAGATGTTCCTACCTGCATGGAATCAGCACTGATAACTTCTCCATTAAATGTTTTCGCAATCTGGATGGCCAATTTGGATTTTCCTGTACCTGTAGCACCAAGAACCACAATTAAAGGCAAACGTTTTAACATATCACAGTTTGTAAGAGAATCCATGCCACTGACTGAAGCGCGCGCCGCGGACCAACTGGCAACTAAACGCTGGGACCGTCCTTCCACTATTTCTACTTCCTCAATAAATAGATATATTCTTGTATATAATTATTATTTTGAGAAATAAAACTATTTTATTTAAGTTGTGGTTAATTTTTTTAATTTATTGTTCATAAAATGTATATCGTTAATATTAACCAAACTAAAATCATCTTAAAGAACTATTCCGATTTACTCTTGGCGGTATTTTATCTTTTTTAATTCCCTCCAATTGTTGACCAAGTACTCAGTTATGACTAAAACAATTTTATAATTAATTGAAATTAAATATTGCTTCATGTGCTATGAAAAAACAAACAACAACTAAAAATTAATATGTAGCGAAACGAATAGGAAAAATCTTTAATTTTGATGAAATATAAGTCTCTAATATTAAAAATTACTAATATTAAAAGGTAAGAATGAAGCTGATTTAAGAAAAAGGGCAAAATGATTAATATATCATCATATAAAGTCTGACCAATGCCTGATCATTTCTCACAACTTCAGAGGGTAACATATTCTTTCTAATTTGATGCTTATGACCTCCTTGTTATAATTTGTATCATATTTGAACTTCTGAATATATTATTAACATATGTGACATTTTTATGGTTATCACTCAACCGGATGTGAAGATATTGTATATCTAGCACTAATACCTGATTATAAGTTAAGATACATAACTTATTTTTGTGAAAATTAAGTTAGGTGGTGATAGAATTTATATGGTGATAAATACTTGACATATGAGTAGCTTTACTTCAACTTTAACCAATTCTAATGATTTTTTTTTCATGATTCAACGTGAACATTCTTAAATAAAACTATTTGAGTTGAACCAACAAAACAATAGTACTTTTTTTTCGCTTTCTGAAAATGACAGACGCCTCTCTTTGATATGAAGCCATTCCTTTATTCATATGTGTATATGATTTCTTTAGATGTAAACATTATCATCCACAGTATTTCCCTGTAGATATTTTATGAAATCAAGAGGTGTTTATTTTTAATGGAAAAAATTGTAGAAAAGACCACTTTTAAATCATTTATATATAAATATTTGGCTTGTAGCAAATTAGACATCATAACATTTTTTTAAACTGAATGTCTTGTAAAAAGATTAGATTATATATTAATGTGTATTTCTGTATATTATATATACTAATTTATCAGATCTAAATCTGCCCTTCATAAATATGGCAGTTTTTTTTTTTTTTGTTTGTTTTTTTTGGCTTCCCTGGCTTCCTTGTTTACTTTAACAGCACAACCCCTAGTTAATGTATTCTGAGAATCCATTTTATCTAGTTCAAACAACGAAACTTAGATTAATATGGACAACAATCAATTTTATATTAGCTTAATGACTTAATACTTCAGGAAAAAAATTGACAATACTTCAGAAAAAAAAATCCGGTTTGCAACAAATAAATATAATCTTCCCTTAAAGATCGCTCAAGAGAAAAATAATAAATTATTTAAAAATATTTTACCGAAAAATAACTTACTCCTGTCCTCAAATATTAACAATACACATAATCATCAACTTATAGTAAATATACATACATATAATATATATGTATGTATATTTATAATTATAATTTATAAACTAATATTATAATTTATCGGTCCCACACATTTTTAGTGAGTTTCAATAAAATGAAAAACCAATATTATTATAGTCTATATGACGTTAAAAAATAAATATATATTCACATATTGACTGATAGTATGATAAGGTAATTTAAACTTAATTGAATCATTTAATAAGAAATAATTGAATAATAATAATGTTATAAAATAATTAAAGGTGGACATGACAAAAATAAAAAATTCTATTATGAGTGGACGCATGCAATTCGCATAAGTGAAAAGGACAGGTACATGATGGGTATTTAGGTATATAAAATGAATCTCTATATGTTGAAATATTTAATGTTTTAAATATGATTGTAAATTGTAAACATTTTTTTAGACTTGAAAATGGCTCAACGAGCCGAAACGTCGTAATTAGATGTGATGTCTTTAAGTTGACAAAATTTTTATAATTGGTGTAAAATTGGCTGATAATAAATAAAATTGTAAATATATATTACATTATAATATTAAAATGACAGGTTTCAAGCTAAAAGTGAACTTTTATTAATAAAAATTCTGATAGGAATTTTTAGTTTTGGTAATTTTATATTATTTGGGAACTGGAAATGTTTTTCGATTTAAATCTTTAATCAATTTTTTTAAAACATTTACTTCAAAGTTATGCCAAGGCGATTTATTTCGATATAAATTAAATTTAAAAAATGGTAATTTTACAGTAAATTCTAAATTCAGGATCAGGCAAATTCATCTAAGACAATCTGTAATCTATACCCAATCGCCGCTTATTTCTTATTTAACGTAACTTTTTTAAGTATTAAACATTATAAACTTTTACAATAAACCCAGAGATTTATTAAGAAAAAAACTCTCTTGAACTTTTATTTTTTTACAAAAAAGTTCCATCGACACTTTTAAAATGTTAAACCCAGGTTAAAACAGCTGTAGCTATACATATACACAATATTACTTACATTTTAACATACAATACATTAACATGTAGAATACAGTACCAGCTTATTTTATATGTTTCTCCAGCTGTATCAGATACATCTGCTACATTGGAAAAAAATCTATTCAATACAGAAACTATTTTTTTCCGAACTTATGCATAATCATAATCATCATGTAGGCTATGATTGTATAAAAGTATAAAATGATTATTTGATGGGTTTAGTCTACTTTCATCCTCAAAAGTATCAATATGAAGTTATATACACAAACACATCAAGCTATAAAAAAATACTTTTTCAGTTGTATGTGTTATTTTTTTTTTTTAATTAAAGATGTCTTATTATTCAAATAACCTTTTTTTTTATTGTCTCAAGCTGTTCAAAAACAATGTATGTACATGGGTATGAATAATTCTTTTGCACTGTTTGTTAAGCGAGCGAGACCTGTCGGTGATAATTTGACATTTTTTTTACTTGAATATCAGCATTTTGTTTAAAGTAAATACAGAACATTGCTTAAATATAACCTTCACTTGTCACTTTAAAATCTCGTGTCATTAAACTTAATAAATATTTAATTATTTCTAAGGACTTACTTTGTTTCATATTTTAACCAATGGCACTTCCACCCCTCGATTTTATTCTCTCTTTAATTTACCTTTCTAACATTTTGAATGTGAAAGCATTTTTATAGGTAATTAACTATCGTATTAGCAAAAGAATGGCATGACGAGTTTTCCGATTAACGACAAGCATGTTTTCATGGGGTGTTATGATTTTGCATTATCAGATAATAGAGAAGTTAATAAATAGAAGATTATATGTTTGCTATACAAGTTTTAGTTACATGATGAATTTTTTATTCCTAATAACACATGGTAACTCACTTATATGAGCCGCTTATTTGCAAAGTCTACCCTAATCGATTTGTTTTAAGCATATCGTCTGTTGATTGCAAAAAGTCACTAAGTATACATTTGATATAGGTTAACTTTCAAAAAGTTTTTGTAACCTTCGACTTTATTTATCCATCCAAAAACACTTAAGTGTATGCAAATTATAACACATCTTCTTATTTATAATTTATAGTTGCATTGAGTGCACAATTTTATGATTTCATAAATGGATAATTCATCAAAGCTCTTAATAATTTGAGGTTACGGAATTTCATTTAATGTAATGTTGCAATAAACCGATCGTATATCCTTATGTTAAAATATCCAATGCATCCGATTATTATTTTTTTACTTTCCTATCTATAATACTTAAGGCAAGTATTGCGATCAGGTCAAATTTCCTATATGAGGTTTTCGACGGATCTATACGTTTCAGAGCCTCCGGTCTGTCTGTCTGTGCCAAGATTTTCTCGTGAACTACTGAACCGTTTTTATTGCTTCTTTTTCTTATTTTGTTTGGTTTTGACTACTGATGCCTGTGACAGAAATTGGGTGCTCTATGCGCAATAAATTAAAAACATGTTTTTCTATATACTGTAGCGCGAAAACTTTTCAAAGGAATAAAAATTTTCCTTTAAATTTTCTTATATAGACCAAATTCCCGAGAAAATTCAGGAAAAAAAGTTAAAAAGAAAAGAAAAAGTTTTGGGGCCTAACTCGCTAAGAGTATATTATATTGTAAAATTTATGACTATTAACGAAGTTACAGCTGTTTAATTTCCAATGTAAGATTACGGGTTCATAACCTGGTGTCAGAAAGGGGTAAATGAAAGAAAAAAGATGACTAAGTGAAAGTAAGAAAACCTGTTACCCGCATCACACAAGTTCACTATTTCCTCTACTTTTAACAGAAATTATTGTTTGACAAAATAAAGCTATGGCAAAAAGTTTTTGATCAGCGATATTAGGGGATATTGAAATTTTTACAGTGACCTGCCTCAAGCCAGTTTACATTGCTTTAGTTTATCAAATAAATCGTACTCAAATATTTTCTTTCATCAATTTTCAGGAAAATAAATCTAATTCAATTTTTTTTTTTTTTTTCTTTCTTGATGGACATATGTAAAGATATAAAATCCTTTCTGAAATAGGTAGGGTAGTCGTGTTAGTGAACACACCAGATATTTTTTATTAAAAACAAACCTAAATATCTTTTTAACAAAATTTGGGTAATATAATATTCCGTCACGTAGGCAATAAATATTGTGAGGTAAGACCACTAGTGTTGCCCAAAAGCGAGATCAAGACGAGTCTTGGTCTTGCGCATTCAGTCTTGGTCTTGCGCAACAGTCTTGCGGTTACATATTAGCTTACTACTAAAGAGATATTACTGTAATTCTTCAGATATGAAAGCCTAACTAAGCCCGAATGAAAAATTGGAAGAGTTAAATGCAAAAGTATATTGGCTATACCAATTATTTATAGTATATTATTTATATATATAATAACTAAAATTGTCAAGTGTTAGTAACTATTTTGCCTTGTGTTTAAATTATTTGCAAAAACTATTTTTTTTTTTATTTATCTTGGTCTTCGACTGGCAATAGTTAGGAGGCCTTGGTATTAGTCTTGCAAAGTGCAAGACGAAGACCGATTTTGGACAACATTAAAGATCACATTCACACTTTATGTACAGAAAATATAAAATTAACGGTAGAAAAATAACAACTAAATAATAGTAATTAAAATGTAGATAAATAAAATAACTTAAAGATAAGTAAGTTACAAAAAAAAAAGAAAAAAACAGACAAAACTTTTTACACTAGAACCTAAATATTAAAAAACATTGATAGGATAATAAATTTATTTCCATAAATTTATAAATCGTGTAATGTTTATTTCCAAAATCTGAGTGTCAATTACTGGTTCCAAATACGCGGTCAGAATTTCCTAAGTTTTTCATGGATAATAAACTAATTGACTGTATAGAAGAAACCAAATTAGAAGAAGACTAAATTTGATGCCAATTAAATCCATTTGCAAAGATATACCATCAGAACCTAAGTTGTAATTCCCAGTGATGTCGTAAAATTCTCTTAAAGTGTCTATAACTGGTTACATTTACCCTAAATTTTAATAAATATGTCGAATAAGTTTTAATTTATTACATTTTTTTCCAGTCTGTGGCAATATTCTTGTTCATAATTAATAAAGGATATTAAATCCTTTTAACGTTATACTAAAAGGCTTTTCATTTATTATGTATTAAATTACTATTTTATTAATACATTTCAGTGTATTATTAAATAACATTTGTGTTGAATTATTTCTTTTTAAAATATAAAATGTTATTAAAATGTTTTGTTTTTTCTATTTGAAATTTTAATTCAAACATAAAGTAGTAACTTTAGAGATCTTAAGATATTATGTATATATTTCTTTTAGAACAAACAGTTAGCAAACGGAAGCTGAACTGATTTGCAAAATGAATTATTTAAAAGTTTATGAACAAGGTTAAACTTAATGTGTATTCGAAAGAAACGAGGGGCTGGTTATGTTTTAAGTAGCTGGGCCAAGCAAACAATTCAAGTCAGAACGAAACTTGTTCTATATTTAGCGACTACAAAAGCTGGCGCAATTAGTCTATCTGTTCCACCATGAGAAGTCAAAATAAAAATGTATTTAGGTTATTTACAAAGGTGTAGTCTATTTCAAGCTTCAACAATACACAATCAGATATATTAGAGTAACTCAATATTAACATACATTTTTAATATTTGATAAATTTATTTATTTTTAATCTATATATTAAAATTGTTAGCTGTTTAAGAACATACAATAATTTTTTTTTATTTTTTTATTTATTGAGTATTACAACAATCTGTCGCATGGACACTAGTCATAGTAAGGTAGGATAACATTCACACTATATGTACAAAAAATATAAAATAAACAGAAGCAAAATAACAATAAATAATAACAAAAAAGTATATATAAGGAATAAAATAAAATAATCTAAAAATAAGAAAAATAAAACGAAGGTAAAACACATGCATACCTATATACACTATTTACAATCAGGCGAGGAAAATCCAGGAGAACCCTGCGCTACTCCCTCAACCGCATCACTGGTACTAAAGCCAGCGGAGATTGATCAAGAGCATTTTAGCCACATACACTGATGTCTTGAGTGGAGAAACTGGCCATTACCAGAACTCCAATATATACAATCTACAAAAGGTCTCGAGGCCACTGCCGTTTTAACCTTCTTGGAGGATTATATGAATGGGTGCTTGATAGGGATTGTGCAAGAGGATTTGGATCATACTTAAGGTTCTGGTGAAATTTAGAGAATTTTTCTGGGATAAGGTCAATAACAAATGGGATATGAAGGTCATTATGGAGGGTTTTGTTGGTTACATAGAAAGGAGCATCGACTATTGTTCAAAGGACTTTTGACTGGAAGAATTGGATGCGCTTGATGTTAGAAAAGTTTGTTGATCCCCACAGTTCTAGTCCGTAAGTCCAAATAGGTTTCACTATTTTTTTGTAGATCAGTAACTTTTTTTCAATGGAAAACAATAATTAATAGTTTAAACTATCTCAAAAACTAAAATTCCGATCCGCATACTGTAAGGAGCGGAAATTTTCGAAATCTTTAATGGCATATTTTTACTTATTTAAATCTCTATTCTGTCAGTTAGGCAATACGAGTGTTTGCAGTAGTGGATAGCTACACGTGCGTGCATAACTAGCCAATACTGCAATCGATACAATTAGATTTTCTGTTTATCTTGGCTCTTCCATCCTCTGTGGTGGAGCTTCTTCTCTTCTACCCAAATAGAAGTGGGATGGGCCAATGACGTCTTTCTACCCGTACACAAAGGCCTTGTAGTGCGGATAGTTCTCTCTGGTCACTAGCTGAGGGAGATAGCGCTCTGATAAGACATAGAGTCCAGCCTCCCTCAGCAACTTAGCCCTCAGTGCCTCATAAATGGTACAGACTAATAAGACGTGCTCGGCGGTTTCCGAGCATAGGGGATCAATGTTCTTACCATGTTCTTACCCCATGCCCCGTGAGGAATTGCTAGATCCAATAGTCCGGGAGGAGCCATGTAGTTTTCATTCTTGAACCGACGGTGGGGAAGTATTTCCTTAGAGTTGATCCTTTTGGCGTTGTCACCCATAATGGCATATTATTCAAAATTGTATCTTGACGCGACTCAGGGAAAATTTTCTTAAAATGACCCCAAATTTTGAATTTTTTGATGGGTTTAAATGCCCCTAAATCGATCTGTCTGAGCTGGCAGATGAGTATTTCGTAATAAATAACAGGAGTACTATCAGCCAGGTTAAAAATTTGCTTAAAATACCACGGCTTTTTCGGCACTGCCTCCAGATCTAAAAGTATTACAGCATTATATTACTACAATATAACAATTTAATCTTCAAAACGTAATTTCTTATCTAATTTTTTTTTATTAGATGTTTCCACTAATAGTGGATTTCCTAACCTAAACTACACGGATAGCTTCTTTCCATAATGTTCTATCTAAGATCCATTCTTTCCGTAGACCATGGCCCGTCATGGATTCCTCCACTTCGTTATCCATGGTCTTCCTTGGTCTTCCTCGTCTTCTTCTTTCCCTAGTTTTCAATAAGAGGACTTCTTTGGGAAGTCTTCCTTCAGGTAGTCTTTTCAAATGTCTATACCACTTCCAGAATGGTTCTTTAACCTCCATCTTTTCTCTGATGGTCGTATTTCTCACTTCATCCATTCTGGACATTCCTACCGCTCTTCTTCAGTAGTCCATTTCTTTGGCTAGAAGTTTCTTCCTGAGGTACCGAGTTGAGCATTGATATGGTGTTTTTCCTATCTGAAATTTATCTTTTTATTTCCACATCACATGCAACATCTATTTCAATTATGGAACCAAAATATTTAAAATGTTTAATTCTTTTTAGAACCCCTTCTGAATTCAGTTATACATCCTCATGATTGAATGACATGTGGTCCTTTTGCTCTGCATTAATGACTAGTCCCCATTGCTGGTATTCCTCATTTAATTTTCTTAACATATATCCAACATTTTCTGCGTCCTGTGC